CGGAGCCCAGCGGTTCCAGCCCCCACCTGACAGGGGATCCCCATCCCCATCCCTGCCCCGCCCCACACAGGGAAGGGACCTGGGGCTCCCAGCTGGGTCCCAGCCCCTGGGCTACAGGCTGGAAGGGAAGCGGCGGCACCTGGCTCTGTCCATGGACACTTGCCAGCAAACTCAGCCTGGGGCCAGGAACGGTTTCACTGAGCCTCAAATCGAATTGTTCTGCCAATAAACCATTAGCACCCGATTCCCCAGCCCCTCTGCAAACCTGCCTGAGCAGCTGAGGTGCCCAGGCCCAGTGACAGGTGGGTGTGAGCAGCAGGCAAACTCCCCAGCACTGAGCCCATCAGACTCCAGCTACCACACAGCTCCCAGCCAGGTCCACGTGTGTCCTGGGGCCCCAGGCTCTGCCCAGAGCCCCCGGCACCAAACAGCTCGATGTCCCAGGGGCTCCACTCACCTGCAAATCTGTTCAGAGTTTCCCTCAAATCAAGACAAATTTTATACTTGCGCTGCAGGTCGGTGCAAACAGCTTCGGGTTCCTGGAGTTTCATGTTTTCACTCCTAGGAAGCAAACGTCCCAGCATCAGCAACTGCTCTGCATCACTGCAGGGCTCCCACCAGGAATATGAGGGCAGCGAAAACGGGACACGCACCTGCTCAATGTGCTTTTCACATCCTGAAAGGAGAAAGAGAATTGATGCTCTGTGTGAACACCGGGGGCAGAAGCCGGAGCGATTCCCCATCTGGGTATCAGCCGTTCATAGAGGCTACGTCTACACTGGCCCCTTTTCCGGAAGGGGCATGTAAATTTCAGCAGTCGTCGTAATTGTTGACAAAACCCTGTAGTCTAGACACACCCTTAGTCTCCTCTTTTCTAAGCTCAAAATTCCCAGTCTTTTTCATCTCTCGATACGGGACCTGTTTCAAACCCCTCATCGTTTTTGTTGCCCCTTTTCTGAACCTCTTCCAGTGCCAAGAGATCTTTTTTGAGATGAGGCAACGATATCTGTATGCAGGATTCAAGCTGTGGGCATCCCATGGTTTTATACAAAGGCCATAAGGTATTCTCTGTCTTATTGCCTCTGTATGTCTCGTTGGGACAGTAACAGGAGCAGCAGAAGGTGACCGGGATGAGATGGCCATGTGGCAGCAGAGGCTATGAAGTGGCCAAGCTCTGCCTGGGTTTACTCTGACCTGCCCCCAGCTCTGCTCACTCAGGGGGTGTCCCCGCTGCTGTGGGGTGCCAAGTGCACCATGTGCAGACATACCCCAGCTAGTTTTGATTTACCAGAACAGGTTCATAGCCTCATCCTGGAGCTTTCAGCTACTTCATGCCTGGGAGCGCTGCTGGGGAAAGGGCTCAGAGACTACGTCTACGCTGCAGAGAGATTTTTTTTTGAAAAACGGCCATTTTTCCAAAAAACCTCCAGTTACATCCACGCTGTGATCGCATTCTTTCTAAATTAAATCGAACGAACAGAGGGGTTTTTTCCCAGCACTTGTAATCCTTATTCTATGTGGAAGAAGCCTTTTTGCAAAAGAGCTTTCACAAAAAGGCATGTGTGGACGGGGAAGAGGAAGTTCTTTCAGAAGAAGAGGAAAAAGCCCTGGTAGCCTCTCCGCCCATAGCAATCACAGCTGACACATGAGAGAACATCCATTCAGTCTGGACATTCTCTTTTGAAAAAGCAGATCGCTTTTTCGATGTGCTTTTGTTTGCAGACGCTCTCTTTCAGAAGATGATTTCTTGGAAGATCTCTTCCAAAAAAAGGCTCTTCTAAAAGAAGCCTGAAGGGTAGATGTAGCCAGGGAGATTAACCCAGACACCCACCTGCCACTCTGCGGTTTTCTCCTCCTCTTCACTTCTCAGCACCAGGGCCTCCTCCAGCTGCTCCCTGAGCGGGCCCAGGGCTCCCTGGAGTTTCTCCTGCAGGGCATCCAGGGCGACAAACAGCTGTTATCTGCCTGTCTGGCAGGCGGCGAGTGCCATACACACCGGCCTTCCGTATGCACACGCAGGGACCCGGCCTGGAAGGAGGCAGCCGCTCGGCTCTGCCAGCCCCAAAGGGACCCTGGGAGCAGAGATGCCCAGTTCTGAGCAGGGGCTCTGCCTACTGCAGCCACTCAGGGCAACTCCGCCCTGGTATGTTAGCGCAGGTGCCACGTCCCTACACATGGGCTAGAGGGGAAATGGCTGGGGAGCCTCTGAATGATCCCTCCAGCTAGAGGGTGAGAGGAGCTGGGGCAGGAACCTCACTGCACCGTGCCCTGGACCCAGACCCATCCCCGGAACCAGATCCCCACTCTGCTCTCCCATGTGCACCCAGGCTCCCAGGGGGCCTCCCTCACAGCAAAAGCCTCACACCAGAGCAGCCTCATTACCCGTGCAGGAGGCTGTGATGTGGCTGGAGACCGGCGAGGGACAAGGGAGCCCTGGGTCTGGGGGAGCTGACCTATAATTGTAACTGCTCCTGGGCTGTGGTAACCCGGCGTTCTCGCCCCCTTGGGCAGCCTGTGATTCATTTACCCAGCGCAGCACCATGCCAAGCGAGGGCTGTAAAATCCGTGCTAACCCATCAAACGTCCAGTTAACCTAACGCTTCACCAGTTAACCAGACTACATGGGACTTCACTGCTGGCTCCAGCTCCTGGGCCCGCCGGGAACAGAGGCTGCTCCAGACAGGATGCCGAGGAAGTCCATGCTCCAACTCTCCTGCACCATCGTCTTTCAGATGGGGGGGCCCA